CTGTGTAGTGTTACCCTTGGCCGGACTCAGCTTGCATTATGGCCCGGCGACTGATTAATTTCGTCTACCTAAGATCAAATCACAACGTGGGTAGGTTAGACTAGAAATCAAAACAGTTACTTCGGTAACCAGACGTTGGAGGCGAGCTGGGAACGACAAGGCTGATACCGAAACTAACCAGATTCCCATCCGAATCAGCTAAAGGTTAGAACGTCACATTTGGTGCCGCGACCAATACCAAGTCACATTGGTCGTCACAGGACAGGATAGGACGGCGACGGCGCGGAGACAGACGGGGTGACGTCACAACTGGCGCCATGGACAGGACAGCACGGTGGCGCAGCCAGGCAGACGTCACGATTGGCGCAGCGACACCGGGGGACGTCACAGCTCTAAAATTCTCTTGTACTGCTCGCTCCCGAGGGTCTTTTCAATAGGTTTTAAGAAACCAGTTCCATGAAAAGAAAACCATTCCCGAACATTATACTGAACTTTTATCGAACATCACTTTATATCGTCTTAACATATAATTAAGTTAACATCGTGAGAGCTAAATTTATTCCATAAGACATTACTAAGATATTTTTATAATCACTAATTATTTATATTTCAACTAACGTCGGTTTTTTTATGCAAAAAAAGGAGTACCCCCCCTTGATACATAGCGTGTTTGTGTAAATTACAATTAAAAAATATTTAAATATTTAAATTTTTAAGTTTTCGTCTTTCGAAAGTAAGACTTTGATCAATATAAATTATGAACAATTAATTTAAATACTATGGAGAACAATAATAAAATGAACAAATCTTAATTTTAAATCAAACGCGAATTTCATAACATTTAACGGTCAGTGAGTATCCAACACCTGAAGTGTGCGTACCCGCATGAAACTCCGAGTTGTTCTATCGATGTGGGATATTACACTGCGTGCCAAATTATTAGTGAGATAACTTTTTTCTAATATTTCAAAAACCGTCAAATCAATTCACACAAAATTTTCTTACTATGTTGGAAACTCTGACCTGTGCAATCACTGAGATTTTCGTACTGATCTGCGCAATGTAAACAAACTGGCGCCATATTTGTTATCAGAACGGTGATTTGAGCGTGCCAAATTATTAGAAAAGTGTAAGAATTTAGTGAAAAGATGGGCCGTAAAAAGCAGTTTAAGTGATGCTGAAAAAGAAAACTATCACCTCAGAACTCTCAAAAAGGTAAATCTACCCTAGAAATTTCTAAAATGATAGGGAGGTGTCATCAAACAGTGAAAAAGTTCATCGCCGACCCTACACAAGTACGCAAAAGGGCAGATAAAGGCAAGCCGAGGGTTATTTCACGTCGTCTCATGTCACGACTTAAACGAGAGGCCACGAAGGACCCTGGACTTACCAGTCAAGAGCTTTTCAGTCGCATTGGGAATCCTACTGTGTCTAAAAGTACTCGGTGTCTGAGGGAAATAGCAACAACAGTCAAACTTGTATCGAAGCCTCCGTTGACGAGAAATCACATTCAAAATCGATTGAAATGGGCCGAGGACAATATGAAGATTGACTTCTCGAAAGTTTTGTTCACAAACGAAACTCGAGCAACACTTGATGGGCCAGATAGATGGTGCAAAGGCTGGGTAAAGAACGGACAGAATCTCCATCAGTGTCTGAGACACCAACAAAGCAGTGGAGGCATAATGATCTGGGGTGGTATTATTGGAAAAACATTAGTGGGCCCATGGAGAGTACCAGATGGCGTCAAAATGACTGCTGATGCATACATAGCATTTATGAAGGAGCATCTTGAACCGTGGATGAAAAGGCAAAGAGTTGCCTTCAGAAGGGCCATTGTTTTTTTGCAAGATAATGCTCCCTCACATGCTGCTCACAAGACTACTGAATATTTGAAAGAGTTAGGCTTCAATGGACCTCGAAATATGAAATGGCCAGCAAATTCTCCTGTTTTGAACCCAATCGAAAACCTTTGGAGCTTCATGAAGCGAAGACTGTACGCCAACGGACGACAATTCAGGAGCAACGCTGAGTTGTGGTAAGCAATTCTTGACATATCTCATGGCATTACAGCAGATGACATCCTATAATTAACAAATTCTATGGATCGTCGACTTCTTCAAGTAATTTAAAAACAGGGAAAACACATTCCCTATTAATTTGTATAAAACTGTGCCTTTGTTTGTGTCTGTTATTATTTGTTTGATTATCTTATTTATTAGCTTCTTTTGATCATAAACATTTACATGCAACATTAATAAACGTTTTGTTTGCTCAATTCTGGGAATTTTATTAAACCTTTCTAATAATTTGGCACGCGCAAATCACTGTGCTGATAACAAATATGGCGCCAGATTGTTTACATTGCGCAGATCAGTACCAAAATTTCATTGATTGCGCAGGTCCGTGTTGCCAATACTGTGTGAAAAAATTGTGTGAATTGATTGGACGGTTTTTGAAATATTAGAAAAAAGTTATCTCGATAATAATTTGGCACGCAGTGTATATATATTCACTAATATATACTTAATAGGTCTGTTATATATTCACAAAAGTTGGAATGTGTACAACATGCACTGAAGCAGATGGGGGCAGCATTGGATAAATCACAAAGGTGTACTGTTAGTCCATTACACTGCCAGGCTACATGTGGCGCGGGTAGCCAGGAAAAACATACGGCGAGTTGGCTGTACCGTCCTCTTTACTCCCAGGATCTTGCGTCAACAAATTACCGCCTTTCATTTCCCACCTTTATGGGAAATCCTTTCCAAGTGAGGTAGGCATGCGGTTGGCATACATAGAAGTTTTTATGTCCAAGACAATTGATTTTTTTTTTTTTACCGCCAGAGCATTGTACCGCTAGAAGCATGTTGGTATACGTTCTGGATTCCGATAGGGGTTACTTTGAGCACTAATAGTATGTCAGGTTTTCAGTTTGCATTTTTTTTCTAGTAAATAATAAACGGCAAGTTTTTTTTTTTTGTTTTCGTTATCTTGTAGATAAATGAAAACAGCAACGATAAGAATAAAGAATAAAAGGGAGAAAGCAGAATGAAATGGTTTAACATCGGATATCAAATATTTAATATTAAATGTCGAGCGTCTCCATAACTATGACATTTCTATATGAACTGTAACCGGCATATGTGTCATTTCCCTCTTTCCACATTTTCCCTTTCATATATAAGATTAATTCAATCAATATAACCGGCATTTTGTCTTCTCCGAACGAACCGAATCACTATTCAGTTTTCTATCTTGTTATTCATTTGATTACTATTATATATATATATATATATATATATATATATATATATATATATATATATATATATATATATAGGATGTTTTAAATGTATGAAATATATATGTATATATGTTTGTAGATATATACATAAATAAATATATATATATATATATATATATATATAAAAGATGTTTAAATATGTGAAATATATATGTTTGTATATATATATATATATATATATATATATATATATATATATATATATATATATGTATGTATGTATATGTATATAAGACATGAAATATATAGATATGTTTGAATATATAAGAAATATATATATATCTGTATATGAAAGGTGTTTTAAATATATGAAATATATATATATATGTTTGTATATATATAAATTTATATAAGATGTTTTAAATATATGAAATATATGTATGTTTATATATATATATATATATATATATATATATATATATATATATATATATATAAAGCGTTTTAAATATATGAAATATATAGATATGTTTGAATATATATGAAATATATATATATGTTTGCATATAAAAGATGTTTTAAATATATGAAAATATATATATATATATATATGATTGTATATATAAATATATATATATAAGTTTTTTTTAAATATATGAAATATATATATGTCTGTATATATATATATATATATATATATATATATATATATATATATATATATATATATATAAAACATCATATCTTTCAAACAATAATAAACAGTAGAACTTAAGTGACTGATATATCCAGGAGTAAATGAAAAAAAATCGATTACGTTCAACTGATTGTAAATGACTTTTCATTCGCAGTGTTCATTAAGAAAGTGTATAAAAACATCGCTCATTTAGTAAATGAGAGCGAATAGACAGAAGAGTCTAGGAATGCTTAGCGTCTTTGTCATGAATGTCTAACGGTACTGGGTTTCTCTATCCACGGAAACAATGACAGACATAAGAATCTATGCATTCACATAATGTAAATTGCGTAGTATGCGACATCGCGGCAAAAATAACAAGCGATCCCAGTAAGAAGAAGAAAAAGAAAAAAAATGCTTGAGTCGGCAAAAAACAAAACAAAATGATGAGACAAAAGAAAGGAGAGTATAACTTATGTTATATGAATAGAAAATGTGTAAAAGTAAGAAGAGTGTCATAAAAAAGAAGGAAAGAATGAAATAAAAAAGAAGGAATGAGGGAAATAAAAAAGAAGGAAAGAGTCAAAAAAGAAGAAAAAAAGGAAATAAAAAAGAAGGAAAAAATTAAAATAAAAAAGAAGGAAAAAATTAAAATAAAAAAGAAGGAAAAAATGAAATAAAAAAGAAGGAAAAAATGAAATAAAAAAGAAGGAAAAAAGGAAATAAAAAAGAAGGAAAAAATTAAAATAAAAAAGAAGGAAAAAATGAAATAAAAAAGAAGGAAAGAGTCAAAAAAGAAGGAAAGAATGAAATAAAAAAGAAGGAAAGAGTTAAATAAAAAAGAAGGAATGAGGGAAATAAAAAAGGAGGAAAGAGTGAAATAAAAAAGGAGGAAAGAGTTAAATAAAAAAGAAGGAATGAGGGAAATAAAAAAGAAGGAAAGAGTCAAAAAAGAAGAAAAAAGGAAATAAAAAAGAAGGAAAAAATTAAAATAAAAAAGAAGGAAAAAATGAAATAAAAAAAAGAAGGAAAGAGTCAAAAAAGAAGAAAAAAAGGAAATAAAAAAGAAGGAAAAAATTAAAATAAAAAAGAAGGAAAAAATGAAATAAAAAAGAAGGAAAGAGTCAAAAAAGAAGGAAAGAATGAAATAAAAAAGAAGGAAAGAGTTAAATAAAAAAGAAGGAATGAGGGAAATAAAAAAAGAGGAAAGAGTGAAATAAAAAAGGAGGAAAGAGTTAAATAAAAAAGAAGGAATGAGGGAAATAAAAAAGAAGGAAAGAATGAAATACAAAAGAAGGAAAGAATGAAATAAAAAAGAAGGAAAGAGTTAAATAAAAAAGAAGGAATGAGGGAAATAAAAAAGAAGGAAAGAATGAAATACAAAAGAAGGAAAGAATGAAATAAAAAAAAAAAGTAAGTGTGTAAAGTGGGTGGAAGAAAACAACCAAAAATGAAGATGAAAATAAGAAAAGATAGACATTTTGGAAAATGACTAATAAAAAGGTGCGCATAAAAGAAACAAAGAGAGTGTCTGAGAGAATGAGAAAGATTCGAGAATAAGAAAGAAAAAAAAAGAAACGAAGAAGAGAGAAAGAGTAGGGGAAAACTGGAGAGAAGCTATTTGGAAAAGGAATAAATATAGGGAAGAGAAAGGACGCGAGAGAGAGACCAAAAAGAAGGAGGCATACTGAAAAAGGACAGAAAAACGAAATAAGGTCGATAACTTTAGTAGAGATGGAAGAGGAGAGACAGATAGAAGATAATAGACGAGGAGAAGTCGATGAGAGATGTAGAAGAAAGAGATAGGCGATGAGAACTGGAAAAAGAAAGGAGGATAAACAAAAGGAAATGTAAGAGAAGGTAAGCAATAGAAAAATCACCAATCAAGCGAAAAAGAGAGTTCGGATCACGGGGGAAGGACAGAAGAACTGACAAAAGTAAGAAGGAAAGAGAGTGAGAGATATGCTACATGGAGCGGAAGGACAAGTGAAAGAAAGAAGAATCTAAACACGGAGGCTAGAAGAGTGTGTGTGTGTGAGATACAAACGTATCTAAACTGAGTGGAAGATGTGACAAATGCAAAAGAGAGGGTGATTGATTCGTTTTCAATGGCTTACCAACCCTTTTCAGGTGATTGAAAGCGAGAAAATATATTTTTCGATTTTAAGAATGATTTCTTTTAGATAATAATAATATACTGATGAAAGTTCTACTAAATAACCTATAGCCGGAGCGGGGATAGTCGAATTCGTACTTTCCCCGATGGTATTTGCGTGTAAGTGAATATAAAGAGCCCAAGTAGAATTGGAACTCGGATCTCCGATTAAAATTACCGAGCCATTATCCATTACACCACCCTCACATCCAAGCTTACAGCACCTGGCATCCGCAAGGGCTCACCCACAGTGGGGTATCTAAGGGGGGAGGGGGCGGACCGCCCCGGGTGCCGGCACAGGAGGGGTGACACAATGTCACCCCCAACAAAATTTTTCAACCAGGCTAAGGTGCCAAAAATAGTCTGAAAACAGTAGTGGAGACACAGGGTTTCGCAGGCGGGCATATGACCCCCCAGGAATAATTTATGACCCCCCAGGAATAATTTATGACCCCCCAGTTTTGTCCCCACGTCAGAAATTTTCTAATAAATTATCGGGAAATTTGTGAGTAGGAAAAATAGCAATGTTTTCAGCTTTCATGTGTTTCAGTTGCTACATTCTTGGTTACTAACAAGAGACATTGTTGTAACATTTTATCGGATGATATGGTATTTTTCACTCTGCATCATTAATAACAACAAAGCGAAATACGAAGCCAAAAGTGCAACAATTTCAGTCTTACCTGTGTGTCAATTCACTGAGATACAATTTTCCATTGAGTGAGCGATATACTTTTGAATATATCTACTACTGTTGGGACGATTAATCGGAATCGGAATCGAGAATCGGAAAAATAGGAAGTTTTGTGGGTATCGGAAACGGTATCGGAATCGGAAAAATTTGTGCCTATTTTCCGATTCCAAAAGCGATTCTTTTAAATTTTTAACTTAATTTTCAATTATTGATACTAATGATAAATATTTATTGCTTTTAAATTATCACTAAAACTAAAATCATAATAACATCAAAATACGATGTAAATTTATTTTACTTGTATAAAGAAAAACAAAAAAATAAACTTTGCATAAATTCTCCAGGTAACCTTTAAAAGAATGCAGTTGAGTTACAATGTTCCGAAAAATTCTTAAAAATTAAATAGAACATTTTTGTCCAGAAAAATACTTTCAAACATCATTGATAATTAAATGGTACACAGAAAATGATGCAACGGAAAATTGGACACCGGAAAATTAGCAACAGAATATTACGTCAACCATGAGCCAGTCGAGACTGTCGGATCTGGCTGTGCTGTCCATTGAACCAGTTTGCCACAATGAAAACAAGAAAACATTCATTCTAAGACCATAGTATCGAATGTCATTCTTTTGTGTAATGCCGTGTTTTGTATTTAGTTGTTCTGAAAGTGAACAGTTGCATTTTAAAAATCTTTTGATTTGAACTGATTATTTTGTGGTGTTGGATTTTGTCTTGGATCATACATGTAAACAGTAACGTACCGGTCAGTAGAGTAAAGTAGAGGTAGAGCATGTATGAAAATTTAGCTACAGCTAACCATTCAGCATAGGGTGAATCGTGGTCATTGGGGTAACATTTGAGCGGACCGCCCCGGGTGACGTTTACTCTAGCTACGCCACTGGTCACCCATTTAGGTACTGAGGTTGCTTAACATCAGTGATCGCACGGCAAGCGGTGACGGTAAATCAAGAGGAAGTGCAGACAAAAGAGAATGAAAAACAAAGATAAAAATTTTAAGAAAGGACGAAAGATAAAAAAAAGGAAAGGTGAAGATAATAAAAATGTTACTAAAAGGATTGTTATTTAACTTACCTTTTTCTTTACACAAGGTCATGATTATGAAGCACTCAGAGCGCCTTATACTCACTAACAACAGCAAACTAAAGGCGCCCTTTCAAACACGTTATGCATACATGTCATACCTTCTGACCCAAAGAGAAATTGATTCAGATTCAGAATAACAGCCAAGAAATTAATGACGTCAAGAAAGTAAAGTACGTAGAAGACATTGCAGAATCTTGGAGATAATGTTCTGCTAAAGTGTTTATGAAGACACACGTGTGAAAAGGAAAACAGAAAGTGGGAATTGCGGAGAATACTAAAAGAGAAAAATAATACAAAGAAGGCGGCAAGAGAAACGACCTTTGCTATTTATTAACTTTCATTGAACAATGTATATTTTTATATTTCTGTGTAAGTGTAGCAATTACTAAAGAAGTAATGGATTTTTTATTTATTAATCTGACTTTAAAATATTACTTTTAGTGGATACTCATATTCAAGTAGACGTCCGGTTTATTTATTAAACAGCATATTTATTTTCATCAACCGAACTTATTACGGGAGAAATCTTTTATTGAAAAAAAATAAATTACAATAGTTTAAGAAAATTTATAAATACTGTCACATGATTTGTTATGATTAACATGTTCAAAGCCCTCCTCTTCGTGTTCAATACAACGCTGAACCCTATTATCAATACATATGCCTAGCATTTGAATCATTTCTGCATTAATTTCAGAAAAAAATTTATCAGAAATTGCTTGTTTTAATTCAAGATTTGTTTTCGTTTTGAACCTGTAAACAAGATTTTTCAGTACACTCCACAAGAAAAAGTATGGTGTTGTTAGGTCTGGTGATAGGCGTGCTAACTAAAATGCCCCAAGTCGTCCTATTTACCTCACCTCTAAATTTTACATATGAGAAATAAATTTTACATAAAATCCAAGTTTATACAGCTGAAAAAAATTAAAAACAAATAAAAATGAGACTCTAAGTTTGCCACACTTTTAAAAAGGCATTATTTTTCCCGTAACATCAAAATTAATTTTGCTGGATGCTGTGTGCTTCTATATTTCGCAACTAAACTGTCAACTATCTCTTTTTTCCTTTAGTGCCCCCCTCTTCCCAAGACTGCAGTATATTAGAAGAAATAGATGAAAGCATAGAAAAGGCACATTCTCTTCATCCATCTGCGAGCATCTTTGTCCTCGATGTAAGTGATTCATTGCCTTCTCGGGATAATGTTCTCAGCTGTAATGAGGTGGAAAGAGTACACTGAATCCATCTCCAGATCAGTTACTAAGAAACTAGGTTCACAATGTTGAGCGGAACAATATGTCTCTTCGAAATCTATCTTACATATTCATAAATCTGCAATTCGTCCATGCTCAGAATATTGCTGTTATATAGATCCATTGCTTTTCCTCGATAAGTTCTAAATAAGAAACAGCAAAATTATTGTTTCTGTGCTTGCGTCTCGGTTTCAGTTGTCGCTTGGTCAACGCCGTACGGGTGACACTTTCTGGCCTTTTTAATAAATACTTTCATTGTAATTGTCCTGATGAGACTTAAAGAATTCATGCATTGTATCAATTTAAGCGAAATACTAGACTAATCAATTTATTGCTGAGCCAACCAGATGTAATTTAAACTACAATGCTAACTTCCTGCACTTCAAGCTTGTGGGAGTCCCTCCCGGCTCCCTGCTTTCCAACCAACTTTAATCTGCAAAACTTTAAATGCAATGTCATCCACTATCTACTGTGCTCCGGATTGCTCTTTTCTTTTTCTCCTCATTATTAATGTTTCTGTTCGTAATTCTTCTAGACCCTGTAACCTCTTGCGTGCTAGTGGCTGTACTGCCTTGCTTGGGGTTATAACATCGATTAATATGTCTATTACTTAATATATATATATATATATATATATATATATATGGATGGAGAAAAGGTATTAATGTTGAAAATTGAGAGACATGATCTGAAGCTTGCTGTAGGCGTGAAACTGCCGCCAGTCATTCTGTAATGTTAATGTCGACACTGTACGTATCTATCTATCTATCTATCTATCTATGTCATTCTGTTCCTATCTGTGTATGTGTACGCACGAACGAGCGCGTATGTATGTGATGTCTTTGTTGGGGTGGAGAACATGCTTAATATCGAAAATTGAGTGGTTGTAGATATTTAAGGACATGACCTGGATTTTTCCAGAGACTTTTCAATCGCAACTGGTATAAAATGGTGCGATGGATAAATTTTCGTCTGAATTAGGCAAAAATGAAAATAACACTGGCATCTCATTTTAACAGATATAATTTCCGAAATTACGCAACAATATCTGGAAATACCAAAGACTAAATTCATTCAATAAAATCTCCATTGTCTTCAACCACGGCCTCAAGACAGCTTTGAAATCTCCTGCAGCTCTTCTGGATGGTCTCCGTGTTTAACGCGCTGAATGATTCTATAATCCTTGCCTTCAGTTCATTTTCTGGTGTTAAAGGATTTTGTTTGGTCTCTCGCTCAGCTGCGCTCCACGCATAATAATCAATGGGATTGCACTCTGAGGAGTTAGGTAGTAAGATAGAAGTGGTGCTGGGCTCACAGGAATTATCTAACAGCTATGACTGGGTTCTCCTGATTGTGTGTCATGGTGCAGAATCCCGTTGCAAGAGATAGGGTTATACAGCAGTCACCTTCTGCAATATCCTCAGATTGACACCCAAACACTTTGAAGTGTTCGTATTGAAGCTTCCGGTGCGAATGCCAAGCAGTGCAACATGACGTTTCCAAATTCCTGGCGGAGTGAATTGCGTCATGGTGGTCTTTTTCTCCCAGACGGTGGCCAACTGACCTTACTATACTGTGCAGCCAAAAAAAAAAACAAACAAAAAAAGAAATAACACGTAGGCGCGGAATTTAAAATTTAAGATGGCCATCGTGTCCTCTATATGTGTATATTAAAATTTTTTTCATGTGTATTGCATGGTCTATTTTACATACATTTAAAAAACACTTTTTAATACATACAAAAATAACATAAAATAATATAAAAATATGATATATGTGTATATGCGTGTGTGCGTC